CCTTCTGTACAAACTAAGTGATATACCAACTCATATATTCTGTGTTTTTATAAGTTGAAGTAGTTTTGAGATCACATTTTGCTAACTCAAAATTTAAGATCAAGATACTTTATTTCATATGTAATTTTTTTTTAATGCATTTTTAAGGAGATGGATGCTATCATCTTGAAGTTGTAGATTGATATTGTGTAGAATTATGCCTTGGATTTCACAATATGAAATTCAAAATTGTAATGGAATTTTGTACTGTACAAGTAATGATTTTATTTTTAATGTAAATTGACTAATCAAATCCTACTCTTTTAATTTTTTTTTTTTTTTTTTTTAAGTTTTGCATTCTGAAAATTTCAAAATACAATGAGCACATCTGTGATTTGACAACTTACTAAGTTATTGGCCAATCAAATTTATGAGTTCATCTATATGTATACAGGGTGTAACAGGAAAGATGTCACAATTTTAAGGGGTGATAGAACTTGACCAAAGTAAAAATTGTTATAATACAGTGCATGGTGGAATGCGAAATGTGAACACGAAAACACAGTAAGTACAAAGAACATGGTGGATCCATCCTTTGGCCCCATAGATCTCTGATCTCTCCTGCTTCAATTACTTTCTCTGGGGAGATCTGAAAAGTCTCATTCACGAGACACCCATTGACTCTTCTGAAAACATTGTCACCAAAATTAAAGTTGCTGCTGCGGAAGTATGTGACATGCCGGAATCTACCAAAGTGTATGCCAATCACTCTGTTGCCATTGTGATGCATATATTGCAGTTGGTTGTCATTTATTTGAACAATTTTTGTAAATATGAAACTTTGTTTCTTGTAAATATCTGTGATTAAAATGACTTTTTGTTTTCCACGTTCTTTGTACTTACTGTGTTTCTGCATCTACATTTCACATTCCACCATGCATTGTATTACACAATTGTTACTTTTGTCATGTTCTATCACTTCTTAAAGTTGTGACCATCTTTCCTGTTACACCCTGTATTTCTCCTTATTTGGATTTAATCATTTATACTGTGTAAGCTTTACTGTAAATTGCATGTTGACATTTTTATCATTTTTAATGACCAGTTTATCAGTGTATTGATTGTTTTCATTCCAAAGTAAATAGAAATCGCAAATGAGAAAATTAAAGATTTTGTAACAAATATTTTTTCTTTTCTGGACAGAGAAGTAGAATCTAAGACTTCTGGTTTTGGACAAGGGATTTGTGCTTTGAAGAAAAGATGACTTCCTCTGTTTGTTTGAGAGTTTGAGGGTTTGTTAATAACAGAAAATATATCTGTCATGAAGGCCTTGGAGAAAAGCAAAAAGAAAACAATCAGAAATTGTAGAAGAATTTGACATTCTATTGAATGCTCTCTCTACATATCTGAAAAATAAGATTTTGGAAAGCTTTAATGACAGAATCACATTATTTTGTTCATTTAAAAAAATAAAGTATAAATGTGAGTATCTAGATTCTGAAAAGTATGTGCTGTGAAGAAGTTTATACAGTGTAGAGACTAGAATATTCCTGTTAATAGAAAACTTCTTAGAGAGAAAGCTGAATAATTCAGCCAGCAGTTCGTACATATACCAAATTAAAAGAAAGCAACAAGTACGTGAGAATTGGAAAAAAAGACCTCTAATTTTGTTAAAATTTCACTAAACCTAACATTACAACTTTTGATGACATGATCTATCAGAAGCCAAAATATGTCATCTTTCTACAGAGTGGAAACATATTTCCTATCTGACCTATTCTCATAAATTTCTCACAGTTGGTTCTGAGGAATTATCACTCTTTTTCTAAATTTCTGATTAGACAATCCTGACTTCAACTATGACAGTTTAGGCTGATTTCACTGAGTCGCCACCCTGTTTGGGTTCTTCCCTATGCCTCTGGATTATGGAGTTTGAAGATCTCAATCTCTGAACTTCTCCTGCTTGATCTCCTCAAGAACTGTGTATGTGCTAATCAATGTGAGAAATATTGCCCAGATTTGAAGCTCTACTTCATTAAGAACTGTTTCCTGATATCAAGGAATATTTCCCAACTTAGCATTTCTGTCCAATATGGGAATTATTTCTCATATTTGGAAGTATATAAATTCTCTTTCTGTGACAATGACAAACATAAGTTATCACTTCTAAAGTTTCTCTTGCTGAAATAAAAATGAGCACATGTATATTGTATGAACTTTAATACTGGTAAATAAATGTTTTAGTATAATTAATATTGTTGAGTGACTCCTTCCAACTGAATCTTGTCATTTCCTTTTCCATCCTATCCCTAGTCTCTCATATGAGGCTATGTCATTGCCATCTCCAATCACTCTAGCTTCAAGTAGTAGACATAACATACTTTGTGTCAGAAAGATGAGTATAATTACATTTAGCATCAAATTCAGCCAAAACAAATTCACAAATGGCTTGATAAATTTACGACGAGGCATGGAATAGTTTCATTAAAACACTTAGTGAAAATGCATAAGTGCAAGGGGAGGATTGCATGAAATGGTTGAAATGTTTAACAGAAATAGTACAGAACTATAGCCTGGATAATGTTTTCAATAGACAATATAGCTTAGTTTTTAAATATCCGCCAGAAAAACAGTGGTATTCAAGTAGGACTATGAAATCAGAGTTGCAGTTTAAAGCAATTCTTGAGTTACTGGAGTTGTAGTTGGAGTCAGTAAAAATGGACTGACTCTGAACTTTAGCAGCTTATGATTCTAAAAAGTAGTTTGATGATTCATGTTAATTAACAGTGATGAAATGCCTTGTTTGTTACATGCGTTCAATCAATGTAAAAAATATACAGTGTATTTATTATTTATATCTTAAATAAAGGAGTTGGAGTTGAAAGGACCATAAACAATATCGTCTACATCTCCTAGTCCTGCTGTATTGATTAGGTTGACAATTTGGTCAACCTAACGATAGAGCGATAGGCTCTTCTCATTGAGAATTCTTGGATACTTTCAGCCATAACTTCTTCCACACACTGTTTATGCATTTATCAGTTAGTTCTTGCCAAGCCAAGTCAATATTGCTTATGGCATCCATGATGCTATATTTTTTCCAAAATTGCACAAAACAAACATAGATTTAAGGGAAGTATAGTGCTACAACAAATTGCCACCTTTTTCTGATTGGTTCGTATTTGTAAATAATTATATTATATACGAATCAATGAAAAGTCGCGATAATTTGAATTGATGTAAATTTTGAGCTTTTTTTAGGTTTCGAGCAGACCGCATTATATTGAATCAGCATTAAGCGGGGTCTTACTGTATTTACATGGGATGTAATTGGAGATTGAAAAATTTTACTTTAGAATCTGAAAATGAAAATTAGTTTTTCTGAACATTTATGATATTTGAATCTGTTTGACTTCCTAATAAAAAGTGTTCTTTATTTGATTTCACAAAAGTCATTTATTATTTTCAAATAAATTAATTCTTATCTGTGATATAGAGTCATGCATTTCACTGATACTATTGTATAAAGTACAGTCGACCCCCCTATAACACGGTAGATATGTTCCGTTCTTTATGAAATTCATGTTCTACGAGTTCTTAAATACATGAGCCAATCACAGCCCGGCACGTATCCAGTTTACGGACTATGGCTATTTGAAAGGTTTTCTTCCATAAAATTAATCGATTCCAAACTAATTTCACTCAACATTTCCAAAACACGTATAATTTTTTGGGAATAATCCATATAAACTATGCTATAAACAAAAAAAACTTACCGAATGTGCACCATTCGACGACGCCATTGCTTAAGCTTGTTTTCGTCGTGGAGCGGCACATCAAATGGCGGGTGCATATTTCCTGATAAATTATTTTTCTGTGAAAAATTTGCTGAACTTTGGCGATATCATTAATATAAATATAATTTTTATGGACGTTAAATATTTATATTTATATATTTATTTATTAGTACAAGGGGACCCTGTATGTTCGGGCTGTCTATTACCAAAATTACAAATTATTGTATTTATATAGACGTTAAATAATAAATGGTTTTTAGTAGGTCTGCTGCTCGTTTAAACTCAACGGTTTGTGCAATATCTGCTATTGGTCTAGATTCGATCAATCCTGTCGCGACACTAGTCGGCGATGACGTTTTACCGTTGTATAGGAGTCTCTATTTAAGCGTGTTTATATGAATACAGTCGCAATATTTTTGCCGTTGTATACAAATCCAAATTATATGAACCCGCTTTATAGGGGGTCTACTGTATTCAAAATTGACAACATACTAAGTCATGCTATATCAGCTACTCTGAAAATATGAATCTATTGAAACATGAGAAAGATCAAATGGATTTAAAATTTTTGTCTACCTATTGCAGCATTTTTTGTCCGAGTCAAGTTGACCATGCCTATTCTTTTTCATTTGACATAATATCTGATGTTTTGATTAGGATTTTTAGTATGCCATTTCCTATTTTTCAATCAGGGATTAGTTCAGTACAGGATGTCTATAAATTAAAGTATGCCACTTTAGACATTCTGTATAATAAATTTTTGAAACTTATTCCATACTTTTTCTATACCAAGATAAACATGCCTACAAAATTTTAGTGATTTATCTCTAACAGTTTTGTCTCTAGAGTGGTCTAAAGTGGTATATGTTAATTATTGACACTCGAATACAGATTAGTATTTTTAATTTATACAGTGTTTTTCTCAAATAGTTTTAATTATACGAGGAATAATTAAAGTTTCAAAATACAGTTTAAATAATTTTATTTTAGGAAATTATACAGTAAGTAAAAAATTTTAAAAAGTTATCTTGCCATAATGAAATAACCTATGGCAAGATTATTTTTTTAAGCTTTTTATCAGCAGAATTAGCACCTTAGTAGCATTATCAGAATATGTATTATATAAGTAAGTGAATATTAATAAAAAATACTAGTTTATATTGAAAATATTAGAATGAATGAATTCACAAACTTTATAGTTTAATCTTTTGTTTACATTTTCAGTGATCTTTGTGCTGGTCTTATTGGTGGCCTAGGAGTTACTCCAAGTGGAAATATTGGACAAGATGGAGCAGTATTTGAATCTGTATGACTCTAATGTTATATGAGTTTAATTAAATAATAAGCTAGTTAATAATTTAACAGGTTAATTTATTAACTTTTCAAAATTAAATTTAAAAAAATAAATACTAAAAAATTATAATGTTAATATGTTAATCTAAATGACAGATTATAATTTATATATATTGTAAGTTTTTTAGCTTAATTAATGCACATTTAACAGTAGTGAATTTTGAATAATGCAAATGTTTCAACCCAATTAATGGGCCATCTTCAGGAATGGGCAATTGAAAATAGAATGCCAGTATTGGAAGGAAGAAAGGTAGGACAGACACCAATAGAGTAAACAAGTGGGAAAGGTGTTCTATGACAGCAATGATTGATGCAAAAGACAAAGGAAATATTGCCAGGCAGGGTAAAGGGTGCCTTGTCCCTGTGGTTTATAAATGTGTTGGTAACAGAAGGGACTAAATTTATAAATTTAGCATACAGTAATATCCCGAACTTACGCGATAGGTGGGATTGAGCGATAACCGCGTAAGTCGAATTTGCGTAAGTCGGGGTATAATTTTGCAATTTGTGTAAAATCCAAGTCGGATGTATGTAAGCTAATAAATGTTCTCATTAATCATATCTCGTCTTTTGATTCGTTCATGGTTACAAGAAATCACCACATAGAATCTCTCAGTCTCCATAGATATAACAAACAGAAATAAATAACACAAAATAAATTGTAGCTATGTGTTGATTCCGTGCGACACATCCGAACATGTAAGCTGAACAATAGTGTGGGGGGGAGTGAGTAATCAAAAGTTGCATGGTGCTCAAACAAAAGACAATCAACGAGATTTAAAAAACGTGTAACTCCAGGTTCGTGTAAGTTGAGGTATTACTGTATTTAGATTATAAATAGTGTGGGAGGAAGGCGAGACAGTTTTGATGATTTTGGCTGCTTACCACAACTTATCTTTGTACCTAGAAATTTTGATAAAATTGTAGCATATCTTCTTCTTTTAATCCTTAATTTCATCTGTATGCTCTATAAGCCTCTGATTGAGGAATCTTGAAATACAGTAAAACTTTTCTAACTCAAATATCTGTAACTTGAATATTTCTTTAACTGAAACTTGGTAGGTCTCAATAGCACAAGGATTTAACATCTCCAACTTTAATTTTCTTCAAGTCAAAGGTTTTGATGTTCCTTTAACACTGATTTATGTTACTTTCAACTTTCCCAACTCGAATTTTAATATTTATTGTAACCAAAATGATTTAATTAACAGATTTCTGTGAAATTTTCAGACAGTTCTATCTATTGTCCAACACCCATTTGGAGGCAACATTCCAGTCCAAAGTGAAAGAGCCTCTCACTTTATGTCAACAAGCTGTACCTACAAAATTGTTTAATTTCATTAGTTAGTTAATTACCTGAGCACAATAAATAGTTTTTTTTAGGACTTATCACACAGTATCAAGAATCCACTTAGACTGATGAATACTAAGTATTTATTTGTAACCACAGTATGCATTTCGGGCAGACAGTGGTTACAAAAAAATACTTAATGTTTATCAGTCTGAGTGTATTCTTGATACTGTGGGATAAGTTCTAAAAAAACTATTTAGAGTGCTCAAATAATCTATACAGGTAACCCCCATATAACACGGGAGTTATGTTCCAAAAAATTGCTGTGTTATGCGAATCCGTGTTATATAAAACAAAGAACTAGTACGAAAAGGAGGGGTTAGGTTCCAAAAATTAAAACATGATACAGTAGAGCGTTGTTTATCCGAAAGCTGGTTATCCGAAACGTTCGTTATCCGAAAGCATTCCAGTCAGCAAATTTAAATTTTCGCTAGTGCTGTGGCACTGCAATCTTCGGCTATTTCTCGGGCTACTGAAATATTTTACGTTTTTGATACTAAATTAATATCTAAAGCATAATTTTTTATTGTTTTTATATTTTTCAATAAATTTATTTTGTTTGTAGAAAATAAAAAAATAATTTTTAACGATACAATAGTCTTCGTTAGGCTTAACATCGACGAAAATTCAACGCGAAGCGACACGCAACGAAGAGAAATTTCAACATGGGATAAATTAATATATTTTTTCGTACATGATTCGTTATCCGAAAAATAAGTTATCCGAACCACCCCAGTCCCCAATTGATTCGGATAAACGACGCTTTACTGTATTATATTTTCATAATTAAGATAAATATCTTTATTAAAATATTTTCTTAAGTGATACATATTAATATAAATTAAACAATGTTTTCTTTGTCATCACTAAACACTATTAACTGAGGGTGTTTTCTTTTTGGCAAGATATCCTTATCCGCTGAGCATTTCTCTACATTATCTTCAGATCCATGCTCTACCTTTTGCAAAAAATATGTTATTTTAAATTGCTTGCTTTTAGTTAAAAGATCTTTATAAATTTCCTTATATGGTGCTAAGCACTTATGAAGAATAAAGCAAGTATGGAATAAGTGAAAAACATCTGGCAACACTGAAACAAGTTTCAAGAAGGACCATGTGTATCGACAGAAGGTGGGAAAAGAAAATTTACATACTTAAAATTTTTGGAAATTTCCCCTTTGCAGGAGTGAGGGGTAGGTTAAGGATTACCCTGAAGAACTTGGCTTCTATTGTATGATTTTAGATGTGTTTTTTGCATTTTTGTGGGAAATTGAACATATTTTTTTGACCCATCTAAAAAATGCTCTAATTAGTCTCAGAGGAGGGAGTGACCTAATTCTTGCACTTGGTGAAAATGGGTAAGATCAGCTATAATCTAATAATCTTAATCTTTGCTATTGTTACTTTTTGCATGAGCAACGCCGGGCTCATCTGCTAGTAATTAATAATAGTATGACAAAAATCATAATATTAATTCATTAGTTACATTGAGCATTTTGCTGAAAGACAGTGATAAAAAAAAAACAGTGCTGCAGAATGCTGAAAAATATAATGTATGACATGTAAATGAAAAGTCATGCAAATGAAAAATGTATAACTGAAATGTTTTATAAAGTACTGTTTTAAACAAAAAACTATCAAAGTGCAAGAGAAGTAAAAATACAGATCTATTTAGAATTGGCATTTTTCACTCTGTCGTTTTCTAACTTAAATCTTTGATAACTTGGAAGTTTTTTCTGCCTCTTGGAGTTTCAAGTTAGAGTTTTATTGTATATCTGACATATGCTCTGTTCATGCCATTCTCTATGTTTTTGGCTGGGATGATATATATTCCACTGTGTCATCCATGGATCTTAATTATTCTATAGGAGGTGATATGAAGTTGGATTGCGTTGGTAGACTTGTGTTTATTATAATTGTTTTCAGTGGACTTGTAGATAGGTTGTATACTTTCAGAGTAAGTGATTATAAAGGAGGAAAAGATTAACTTACAGTACATTTTGATTTATTTTGGTTGGTGTGTGCAGAGATCTTGATGAGGCAGAGGATGTTATACTGTCAGAGGCCATTCTGTAGTAGACTGATTATCATATGTAATTCCACATTCCAGAGGAATTACATATGATAATCAGTCTAGTACTACACTGGAATGTGGCAGTTTAGAGCAGTAACTATAAGTGCAGAAGGCTGCAAGTAGGATGAAGTAGGATTACAAAGTATAAACATTTTTCCTTGGAAAAATCTATTAATTTGACCTCAGTGGAAATAAGTACAAAAGACTTTTGATGAACTATGAAAAGCTGAATTGTTTTGCTGAGGTTAGATCAGTTTTGGTTGATAAAAAAGAAAGAATGCTCCAAAATGACATTGTTACTATTTTCAGTATTATATTCATGTGAATTAACTTTCTCTTTTATAGTCACAATCAAAATGAAACACAGAAATACAATTAATTTTAAAATTGGTCTCATCATACGTATGTCAAATATGGAACAAATATTTGATAAATTGATTAATGAAAAATAGGTATATGGATCATATTATTATTATTTTGTGTGTGCTCTGTGAATTACTTGCTTTTCAAAATCTTTTTGTGTTCTTCCATATTAAATGTTTAAATGTCCAATGAAAGTTATATTTTTTTAATCAAATAAAAGCAAATTTTTCCTTAATGTGTTTTCAAATTTAATTTTGAAAGCCTTTGAAAACATGCAAAATTCTGTCATAACCTGCAAGAAGTTATGATAATTCTGTGGATTAGTATTTCTTTAAAGTTTGAGTTGCAACTCATATTTTGGAAAATACTAATTTAGATTAATTGAATAATATATATGTAGGCATGTTGCTATTAAAATTGGTCTAATTAAGGGGTGCCCAAGGCAAGTTCCAGTGCGGCCCAATAAACATGTAAACAAATTTTTTTATTTTATTTTATTTATTTATTTCAATGGCATAAACTCAAAAAGAAAAAGAGCTTCACAAAGCTGTAAACCTTTATATATATTTTATTGTTGAGTGGAAATATTTTCAAATATTTGGAAATGTGTGAATGAGGAAAGAATACTAAATAAAGCTAAAGTTGAGACTCAAAGAATTATAGACCTAAATTCAAGGAAAGTTTGTTTGTTGGTTTGGTTTATGTTAAGTTATGGCAATGCAACACTTGGAAAATCTGCCTAGGGGGATTCCTTCCAGGAGGTCTTTTTAAGAGAAACTGGTCCCTATTTAGGCATTATAGAGGTGGAGAAAACCCAGAAAACTCCATGTGACCAGCCCATCCAAGTGAGGCATGAACCCACGACCGAACTCCCAGTGTTTAGGGTACAAAGACTGCTTTGCCATTGGTAGGCCAAATTTGGGGAAAGGAGAGTAAGGCCAAAGATAAAAAGTAGTGAGAAAGGTTAAATAGACTTTCAGTTATGTAAATATGGATCCTTAATTTTTTCAACCTTTCTTCCTTTTTTATCTTTTCTCTTTTCTCTCCTTTACTGGCATTTGGGTCTATAATCCTTTGAGTCCCAACTCCAGCTTTATTTAGTATTCCTTCCAGCATTGCATGATTTGGATTTGGCTACTTTGTGCCAAAGTTGGCTGCCTTTTTTTAGTTTGGCGTAAAAAATATCATTGGCACATTGGCTACTTTTTGAGCTACATATTATTTATAAATATATTAGTCGAATAAAAATTTACATTAAATGGTGTTTCATTGTTTTTTTATTAATTAGAAACCTAAATAAAACAAATATTTGCTTTTTCAAATACATTTTTGTTTGTCTCTTATAATAAATGAATTTATCTATTTCTAAGTAAAAATTGAAACTGTCTGTAGAAGTAATTTTTTAAAATATCCTTTTTCGTGATAAAGATTTAATACTTATTACTGTAATCTAGACATGTTAATCCTTAAATATACAAGTATATTTAAGGATTAAACTCCATGACATCTTCCAATGTGGTCCAGAGAAACAAAAAGGTTGGACATCCCTGGTCTAATTGTTAATTTTTGAGTGAGCAAAAGGATATGTAATCCAACATACAGTCAAAAGCAGTTTATACATTTCTCAGTTTGTTTTTTGAATTATACATTAAATATTTTCTGCATAGTACTTTATAAAACATTTCACTAAATTTGCATTTACATGTCATACATTATATTTTTCAGTTATGTATGATTCACTTTGTAATGAAAAAATTTAAAGCATTTGTTAAAAAAGCTAAAAAAAGCAAATTATGTATCCTCTTCAGGTCAGTCCATACTTACAGCAAATCACCAGAAAATGCAAAAAGCAGAGTGAGTAATATATAACAAGTGATTCTATTTTGAACAAACTTTCTCATTTAGCAATTCATTCCACAAGTTCAATACACTGAAAAGTTTTGTTTGCCACTTTTTCATTCATTTTTCACTATTTATTGTCACATTGAGCAATGTTTAGAATGGCTTTTCATTCTTTCATGTGACTGGGTTTTCAGCAGAAAGAAACAACTGAAAGAATACTGAACCAGTATATGACATTAGTTGACAAAACTTGGTCAATTGTTTTAAAAGTCCATGATTTAATTTTACACTGATTAACTTCTAAAGTATAAATTTTTTTTGTTTTTATATTTTTCAATATACAGTGGAACCCCGGTTAATGAATGTAATCCGTTCGAAGAGTCCGTTTGTTAACCGAATTGTTCATTAACTGAAGCAATTTATCCCATAGAAATTAATGTAAATACAATTAATCCATTCTAGCCGTCAGTATTTTTGTAATTTTATTTGTAAAATGGGTTTTCTTTGATTCTTTTCAAAAAAACGAGACGAACTTTTTGCATCAACCCAACATAATTTAATATCCACATGTTAAAAGCGAAAACACTATTGTTAAGTTGGACCAAAGTTCAGGGAGAAGTAAGGAAAAAACTGTACTGTAATTGTCAAAACAAACGCGACATGAAAACGAATGACGTAACGGATCAGATGGAATGTTTGTGGGGAAGATGAAACTCTAACAGAAACGGTCATAAACAGTCGATATAGGTTAAATTTTCGGAAAAGGAGAACAATTTGACGGGTATAAAAACTAAAAAACCCAACACCTTATTAATCCAGCAATATTTAATAAGATAATAATAACGTTATTATTATCGTTATTATGGGTTTTTTTAGTTATACATTATCCAGTAAGTTCATTATTTGTTTATTTATCTATTAGGGTATAAAAACATTGCGTACAATCGTTGAAGTTCTAAAATGACAGATAGCAGAAACAATATGAGCAAAAGGCTTATAGGTTTATCACCAATCTCCGATCAGAGTCGAATCAGTGCCTCGGAACAAACCTTTCTCGTGACCTGATCTAGTTTTGGTTTTCACCTGGAGACAAAGAAGAAAACGATTGGGAAGCAAGGAATGGGATGCAGGACTAATCGTAAGGTGAGATTCAAGGAAAAAATACTATAAAAATCACAAATCTCAAGTTCAAAATGCAGTTTTCCTAAAAATTCTATAGCGATTAATCTGTGTCGTCTTCATCTGGATTAAGCCTGAAGTCATGCCCGCTAAAATTTGTGTTGTGCCTAGCGGACCGCTCCAGTCATTGCAGCTCTGTCATCTACCATCGCTTCTGTGACCAAGCGAACCCATCTTGTCCGCTCTGGGGCTACGACTGATCAGCTTGTACTATCGTAGTACCAGCGATACGCCACTCCTCAGTGCCAGGAGAAAATACTGTAGATAAGCCATTTCCAACCACCTCAAATATGTAAGCATCTTCCAGTTCTAATAAACAATTTTCACTGCAAAATACTTGTCATCTTTGTCTCCTTTGCAACCACCAACGTACGAATGGACCCTAAACCATCACCGACACCCGATTAACTGATTCCCCCTAAAAGTCGGAAAGCTTACAAATTTGACACAAAAAGCCATTAAGTTCGTTATTCGAATTTTTTTCATTATCCAAGACAAAATTTTTGCAAAATAAAAGTTTGTTAACCGATTTGGTCATTAACCGGGGTTCCACCGTATTTATTTTGTTTGTAGAAAATAAAGAAATAATTTTTAACAATACAATAGCCACAATTATTATTTTAAAAAGTTTACGTTAGGCTTAACATCGACAAAAATTCAACACAAAGCGACGCACAACGGAGAAAAATTTTAACATGGGATAGGTTAATATATTTTTTCATACATAATTGGTTATCCGAACAACCCCAGTCCCCAATTGATTCGGATAAACGATGCTCTACTGTATATGCAACAGATAACACAACAAAACACCAAGAAGCCAGTAAAAAACAAAAAATATTTCATGCTATGAACATTTACTTTGTCTACGATGAACATTGTTCGGTATTCTTGAATATAAACTGACAGAATACTTTTAGATTGAATCAAATAGATCCAAAATTTAAAAAAATTTAAAAATGGACATGTGCAAAACCACCAAAGTTCTACTCAAGTTTAACCAATGCACACTAAGCTATAGAGAGAGAGAGAGAGACATTCTCTTTAAAATTAATTGCTTCATCTTTCTTAATTGCATTGAGATTTATCTCAAAGGCTTCAAGATGTTTCAATCATATGTAGTCTGTTGTGTGATGTAATATCCTAGTATTATGAAAGTCAGCCTATACACCTTCCTCCCCCACTTATGCAGCTAGTGCTATGTTGGCCATTTTCTTTTTGATATTGTATTGGTGTTCTTTATTTCTTGTGTCTAAATCCCAGGCCTTGGTTCCAATATAAACAAGTGATCTGTCTACTCTGGTCAAATAACAGGATGGAGTAAACACCAGGCTGAAACTTATTGTCAACCATATCCTTGTCATTTCTGATGATTGAAAAGATACTAGGAGATCTATAAATGATCCTAAAACTGGACATTCTAGTGGTCTCTCTATATACATTGGATAGTGCTCAATAGTATGTGATCACCACAAGGTTACTTTTATGCAAATTACATATGTTCTTGGGACTATCATGTTGCACCAAAGACCTAGTAAGGTGCACGAAAAACCAGTTTTTTTGCCATTGACATAATTTGTTGCCATTTCTTTTCGGTCCTTTGCTGATGAACTGTGTGTGTGTGTGTGTGTGTGTGTGTGTGTGAACAATCTAAACAAAGCACAAAACACCACAATCTTGAAATTGTGGTGTTTCATATGTTGATTAGGAATATTTATGAAATTGCAATTTTTTCTGATTTCTTGCTGTTTTTGTGTTATTTGTTATACAGAAAATGCATTAATAGGGAAAGAAAACACAATATACTGTAATGATGATTTATTCGCTACAAAAATATTGTTGTATTCAAGTTAATAACAAAATAGTGTTATGTATGCATTATATGTGCTAAACACCAAAGACATAATATTTTTATTGAAATTGAGAATGTGTTGTTGTTAAATTAAGTAATCTTATGTATTTATGTTAAAAAAATAGATCGTAATCTTCACTTGCATTTTTTTAAGGAATGATTATAACTTTGTTTAAATAATTAAAAATTTCATTTATAGTGTTCTGAGATAAAAGACATTATTTTTATTTCTATCAAAAAATTAGCTTTTTTGATAGAAAATTTTGTTTTGTTGTGCAGAATAAAACTATTTTTCTGCAAGTAATAAAATGTAAAAATTTAATTCAATATTGTTACAGTAGAGCCTCGAAAACTCGGCACTCGATAACCCGGCACTCCAGATAACTCGGCCATACCCTGACAGGGCAAAAATACCCTTAGATAATTAATTTTTATTATAGACAGCTTTATGCCTCATAAAGTATTTTTCTGAGGTCTGTCTTATCAGGTAAATTACTGTACACAGTGTATTCATTAATTTTCATTTTCATGTAGTAAAGGCTCTATGCCTTCATAAAAGACGTACTTTTCCTTTGTTTAAGGGTATTTGGGCAGTTTATTCTCAGTTGTATTCTCAAGTAAACAATACATACACGTACAGTACAGTATTTTCTGAAGAAACACTCATACTTATTTTTTTAACCCCATTCCCGATAACCCGGCATTTTCACAAACTTGGCTACCCTTCGGTCCACATTAGGCCGAGTTTTCGAGGCTTTACTGTACTAATAAATTTGAAATTAATTATATTATAAATTAGATAAAGTAGGATTAATCTTTTAAGAAAAAAATTTAATATGTAATGATTTTAGGTTCATGGTACTGCACCAGACATTGCTGGACAAGATAAAGCAAATCCTACTGCCTTGCTTCTCAGTGCAATTATGATGCTACGGTACATGAAGTTAAATGATTATGCAAATAAAATTGAAACTGCCTGTTTTGAAACATTGAAAGAAGGAAAGGTAATCATTAATTTTTAATTTATTATTTTTTATTACTTGTTTTTATTTTTTTTTTTTTTACCATCATGTTAAACAAATATTTCTTAATTAACTTTCAAGCTAGAACTAGGTTAATTAATATAATAAATATTATTTATCTATTTCAATAAATACAACATAATTCGATAACTTAAATTGTTCAAAATTACTTCTGCTTCTGTTTTCATGCAGTTGTTGATAAATATTGTGTGTTTATAGTAATTCAGAATCATTTCAGATGTAATAAAGATATTGCCATTTAACATGAATTTTGTGATAATGCTTCTTGTCTAGTCTTGTGTTCAATTATACGAGTGCTAAGGTGGCTTTTCTTTTTTGCTAGACTTATTATACCACCAGTAAAAGGAGGATAAACTTTAGAAAAACTTTTTATTCCTTACAACAAGTAATTATCTTGTATAGATTTTTATTATAATGAAATTTCACATGTATAGTTAAACATTAATATGATGTATAACACCTTATCATGTACTGTACACTCAGAAATTAAAACAGTATTAAATATTTTTTTTAAATGTTCAAATATATTACATATAATACGAGGCGTGTCCGGAAAGTAAGTACCGTTTCGTTCTGCTGCCATTGCAGTGGTAGTATTGCAGTTCAGCGCCTGCGCACACGTCTCTCTGGTTGATTGTCAGTCCAGTGACGCCATTACAGCCGGATTGTGTTGTTTTTCCACGTGTTAGTGAGCATTCAAAATGTTTAAGACTATTGCCGATCCCGCCGACTGTGAAGTGCATTCTGTAATACGGTTTTTGAATGCAAAGAATGTTAAGACAATTGAAATTCATCGTCAACTTGTAGAGATTTATGGTGAAAATGTAATGAGTGATGAAATGGTTAGGAAGTGGGTTCGACAATTCAATGCTGAACGCACTGATGTTCATGACGAAGCATGGAGTGGCTGGCCTTCTGTTGTCAATGATGGTTTGGTTGCAAAAGTGAATGAAAAAATTCCTGAAAATAGATGGTTCACAATAAGATTGCTTTGTGATGAGTTTCCACAAATTTCAAATACTGTTTTGCATGAGATTGTTGCAACAACCGATGTTCAGCAGTGGCTGTCTTCACTGGCGGCACCTTTCTTTGACAAATTGGTTTTCCGATATGACAAATGTCTGAACAATGGTGGTAACTATGTAGAAAAATAGTTTCAGACATGGTCTTTCATGTAAAAATAAATTTTGTTTTGAAAAAATACTTTTTATGCGAGTTTTTCCAAAACGGTACTTACTTTCCAGACATGCCTCGTATATATGTAGGTACAGTACATACTGTATATATATATATATATATATATGTATATATATGTATTTAATCAGTATGTTTACAACAACAAATATTTTTAAATTGGTGTTTTGGTATAATGAAATTATTTTTCCTTAAATTTGCCATATATGTGTAATAAATGTCAAACAATAGACATATTCTTAAGTTACAACAGTCTTCTGTGTTTCCAATAAACAATAAGAAATATTATTGTTTTCTTTAAATTATTTTGAAATAAGCCTAATAAAATTTAATTAGAATTACACATTTACACGTGCATATAGATTTAAAATTTCAAATCATTCCATGTTTAGATTGTTAACGGGTTTAATTATGTTTTACTGTGCAAGTTATTTGATTATAGTCATCCACCAAGGGGCACTTCATGTAAAGGTTATGTTCTGTAGGTAATTTCAAAATTGGATGACTGTCAATTTCTTATTTTCTTTTCTTTGACCTGGCAGCCATTTTTAATAAAGTTATTCTCTTTAGCTATCTGTGCTAATTAAGTCATGGAAAATACTTAGATTTTGGAAATTGATAGAAGAAATTTAAATTTTTTTGAATGAAAAGGATCAGAATGTACCTAAATTATATGATTGACAGTGGCTTTTGGATTTATGTTTCCTTCCAAATATCACAATAAAATTAAACAAACTTAATAAGCAGCTTCAAGGTGAAAACAAATTGATCACAGACTGTTATCAAAATATAAAAGCATTCATACCGTGTTTCCCCGAAAATAAGACAGTGTCTTATATTAATTTTTGCTCTGAAAAATGCGCTAGGTCTTATTTTCAGGGAATGTCTTATTTTTTCCAGGAAGAAGAATTCACATTTATTATTGAACAAAAAAATTCCCAAGTCGAACTTAGACGAGAGTGACGTATATCCGGTGTGTCGAACTGTCGC